ATCTCATTTAATACGGGTAGAAGCTTGTCAAACCAACCGGTCCCTATGCCGAAAAGATGACTGCCTGATAACCGGTTGTGCCTCTCATGGCAAAACAGCTGCTATTAAGCATTTATGAAAATTGACATTAAGTCTTTTTACATCACTGTAGAAATTTCTTTTCGTACAACTCTCATGACATTTCCATTTCTTAAAGTGCAGCAGTGGTCAAAATGAAAAAACACAATAGCCTAGATGGTAAAAGGCTCGCGGTGGTGAAGTTATTGCTCCTGGTTCTTTTCCAACTCCCCAATGAGTTGTTGATGTACTTCTGAAATAAATTTGGATGGCCAGACCCCCTGGGATACTTTACCACTGTTCCACTTCTGGATAATGGCTCTCTCTGGGATTTCCAGGAGTCTCGAAGCCTTAGCAACAGCTTTCTTTTTTTTTTTTTTTACCATTTCCAGACTGATAGATGATCATTTATCTGTTCTTGGATCTCTTTGACTATGATTCATTGCTTTTTGAGTTATTTGGCATTCTTCATATTTTCTGCAGGCTCTATTTTAGAAGTGTCACGATTGTGCAGGTTTACCATTTAATAGGCTTGGGCGTGGCTGGTGAATCTGAATCATGATTTATCAAGGTAACTATGGGTCAGGTTGGTTAAGGTAGCACATTAAGCAACAAACCCCCTAAGCATTTCTTCGCAGCAGGTAATAATAACTGGGGAAAAGAAAGGTTTTACCACATTAAGCGGGTGTTTGGCAAAGGAAACCAGGTAAAAAATATTCCTGGGAAGGTAATAATTAGGGTAAAGCAGGTGTGGTAATTAGAAACAAGAACCAGGTGTGTGAGAGGAGATAGCAAAACAGGCATAAGTTAAAAAGGAAATGAGACTTTTAGGTAAACAGCAACTACAAACCCAAACATTTAAGCAACAGATGTTCTTTCACAGTCACTCATGGTATAAACGGTTTATTTTGTTTTTTCGCCTGGTGTGAAGATTGTTAGAACATCATCTTGTCTGGAACTGTTTTTTTTTTTTTTTTTTTTTTTTTTTTTTTTACTGTAAATTACTTTTATAGATTCAGGAAGTTCATCTTAGCTGCTTTGTGTTAAAGAAATCCTTACACAAAAGAAGTAAAACAAGAAACGTGGGGAAAGATTTTTGCAAAACAATAATTGAAAATGTTTGGATGTTAATTTTTGCATATTTTCTAAAGATCCCCCAACAAATGCATCAGATTTGGACAATAAAAGTACAAATCTCTCTGAATTCACTTCATCTTAACATTCAGCAGCGTTGCTGTTTTTTCATAGGGGAGTCAGAAATTGCTGCTGCTTCTGAGAGCTTAAACAAATGATTTGTGAGTACCATCTGACCCAGGTGGTGTTGATACTCAGACGTCTGTGTGTGTTGTGTGTCTGCCGCAGAATGAAGGTTTAGCCATCTACGATATCCTGAGGGATCTGGAGTCGCAGTGTCTGAGTGAAATCTCAGCAATGCTCGGCGGAGAGATACCTGGAGACGAACTGGGGGACCTGTTCTTTGATTGTGTGGACACCGAGATTAAGTTCTACCAGTGAGAAGGTGGGAGGCATTAGGGGCTTTGTTTACTGTTGAATCTGGTGTATGAATGACTATAGGAAATTAGGTTTGGTTTTGACAAAGGAAAACATTTAAGATAACAGTTATGCTGCACACATTGAAGACCATATTAGTGACAAGGTATCTCCTTTCTATAGGTTGGCTAATTAGTAGCAATTATTTCCTTAAGGTGAGGTGAGGTAATCTGGTCCTATCTTTTTTTTTTTTGAAGCCCTGCCGAGGTTTTATGCTTGACCTATACTAGGCTCAAACATAGATTCGATGTTGATTTCCTTAACTTTTTTCTTTGTGGGTTTTTTCATCGCCTGTGTAAAATATGGACAGAGTTTTATGGATTAAGCTTCTTCATAAGCTTTTGATACAAGCTATTTAAAAAAGCCTAAAAGCCTACATTCTTAACTTCTATTGTTTAGTTTTTGGTATATTGCTTTTGAAACGGATCTGCTCAATCATTTAACACATTAACCACAGTGAAGCCAGATCGGTTACCTCTGCCAGTGATTTCACTGAGGAGTTGGGGAATTTGGGGGTTAAGTTGATGTAACTGGCTACCCCTGGAAAAGATTACCCCCTCACCTACCCCTTATTTTATTTTTGTTTAAGTAAAAAATTTATAGTATTAGTATGCTTTATCCAGGGTTCAGACAGTAAAGGTACACAAGAGGAAAGTAGGAGGACGTGCACGTCTCTCACAGCAAACACCCTCACCACCCATTAGTGATTCCTATCTGACACTCCCCCCCCCTTTCAAAACCCTCTGAACTATGACTTTCAATTAAATATGTGTCGAATATGAAAATAAGAATTAATCCAGTTACACAAATTCAAATACTAAATCTGATCAGTATTTTTAAATAACATTATAAAAGATCCAAATGTAGGGGGTTGTATAAAATCAATCCACTCAGTTTCCATAGAAATGAAGATTGTTAGTATGGCCACTACTGTCCAATTTTCTGCAAGACCATATGTTGGTATATATTTGCTGATCTGGAGGGTTCCAACGTGTTCACGTTTTTGTCCTGTGTAACAGCGCCCTCAGATGGAAACCCTCAGCACTCAAAGCGTGGCGGGAGGAGGCCCTGGGAATTGTGACAAAAATGTTTTTTTTAAAAGTCCTGTGTTACTTCTTCTGGTCGGCCACAGCCTCACCTTATGCAACCTGCATTTCTGACCCCATTCCATCACTAACACAGACTAAGCTGCAAATGCAATCGGAGCATATTTATCATCTGTATCACCCAGGGAGCAATGACTGCACCTCGTTAGTGAGTATACTGATGTAGACTACACGGGCGCCTATGTAGAGATGTGTGATTGTTGCACAAATACTCTGAGTACAACATTTCTTAAACAGTTTGTTTGCTGCACATTAACAAGAACTCATCTGGTTTGAAGGCTGCCCTTAGGGAGACATCTAATAAAGGATGTGTATAGCCTGTCCAAATTTGTTTCTGTTTTTCTTTGCTTCAACACCCAAACTGATGATGGATCTATCATAATTGTACAAATACAAACCAACGCATTGTACTGAGTGCTAAGTGTATGGTATATATTACATTTCACCATAATAATACAGTAAATTGCACTAAATATACAAGTACACTAGTTTTTTTTTTTTTTTTTTTAGTAAAGATTAGGAAATAAGCCTAGTAACATCTTGTATTTATGGTACACTATGATATTAACCAGAAGTTATGGATTTTTTTGAGATTTCGGGGAAAAAGTGTTTAGAGCAGAAGGTCTAGTTTATAAGAAAAACATACATTGGATTCAACATTTCACTGAGCTCTATTCAATCTATCAACTGAGAATGAAGTTAGCACGCCACGTCTTCAAACTCACTGGGACATGAAGAGCCGAAGAACCCTTCAGAGATCCACATTGCAGGTATGTGCATTTGTTCACTGGAAAGCTATTGCGTACTCCACAAATCTGACATTTGTGGAAATGAAGCAAATAAATCCGAAATATGTCCTCCATGATTTTCCTCAAGCCAAGTAGGGAATTCTGCAACCATAGGAAGGAGGGTGCTGTGGGCGCATAATGTCTGTGTAAGCAAACGTACTGCAGCCATGTGACAGATTAAAGTTGCAGCATTATACTGTGAGGATACATTTTTCTTCACCAAAGAGAGGCTAGATAGGTAGAGTTGATGGGAAGATGACTCAAGAAGTTTTCTCTGCAAAATAATGAAATATGTATAGACCCCAATCTCAATTCAATTTTAAAAAAGCCTTATTTACTTTTGAAACCTAATATCAAAACTTACAAATAATTGGCACATGATCAACAAGATCAATGGTTTTGTAATCATCACTTAAATAGGTTCTTGTATATATTTTTCCCCCCAAAATGTAAAAACGAAACTCTTTAATCTGTAAACCAATAAAGATATTTAGTACATTTTTACAAGCAAAATAAGCAAAGTTTACGTTCATTTTAATAACACTTCAATTAAATTCTACCAAAAATGAACATATGCTACAGTACCTAAATTAGTTATTCAGAATTAGTAAAATAATTCTGTATGTAAGTTAGATGTTTCTTTAAGAAAAAATGTTTCCAAGCATAATTTTATTTCTCAGAAAAACCGGCCACTCAAAATATGGCGGAGACATTCACATATTTCTTTTATTGCGGCGTCTAGTCTGCTGTGTCACCCATTACTTATTAAGAGTAAAGAGATGGAAAAATGACAATAGAGATGGAATGAAGATAAAGGAGAATTATATAAGGTACAAAAATCAGTATTAAATAGAATCATTAATGAGAGAAATAGAAGAGAATCATCAGATTAAGAGTGGGTCATATCTATTTAAATGACTATATTTAATAGGGAGGAAAAATAATGATAAATGTGAAGGATGTGGAGAAAAAGAAAAAATAGAACATTTACTGGTGAACTATAAAACTTATGAACATGAAATGGAGAAATTGAGAAGGATGGTTGGAAGGACAGGCAACAAATGGAGTCTTAAAGGAATATTGGCAAATTAAGAAGATATAAAGGATATTCACAGATTAAGGAAAGAATTATTTATTTAACTACAGAATACAAAATTAAAAAATAGAATTTGCTATGAAGTAATGTTGCTACACACTCATGTACAGTAGGTGGCGGTATGCAACTTAAAGTTGCTTACGATCCGCAATAATAGAAAAGAAGAAGAATAATTAGGAGGATTTAGTATTGTAAGGTAATGCTATGGATATAGATAAAGATAAATAAATACAAGTATCTTAATGAATAAGGCCATTCTGATCCACACTCCTCACCAGTTGGTGGCGATGATGCTCACCGAAAAGCTGTTTGCCAACCGCCATTAAACGAAGCAAAGACAAGAAGAAGAAGACGCTGTCACCCCCAGTCCATTAGGTGTCAGTAGAGCCATGGAAAATTGCACCTCGACACCGTAGAAGAACCAAGACTACGGCCCATCTCAACATCGCGCCAACCTACACCTACAGCTAAACCACACTCAGAGTTTAGCGTCCATTTTCCTCCTTAGCTTTAGGAAGTTTAACCGGCGCCATGGCCGATAAGATGAGCATGTCTCTGGACGACATTATCAAGTTGAACAAGATAGATGGCCGCGAAGGAGAAGGAGGGCGCTTCAGGCGGGGAGGAAGTTCAGGTCGAGCCGGTGGATCGTCGAGGCCGCCGATGGCAACGAGGGGCAGACCGAACAACTTCCAGCGTGATAGGAACAACAGAGCCGCTCCATACACCAGAGTAAGAAGGAGACACGTTCAGAAAAAGTCCACCTTAAATGGCTCTCAATTCCATTGTTTAAAGTCCAGTAACGGGAATTCACGTTTTATTTTTTATTAACCAAGTTAATTGGATTTCTATATTGGACTTCTTTTTTTTAATCCCAGATAGTAACTTAATGATAAGTAACAGGTGGATCCTTAATATCTGTGATTAATGTTGCAGACGATGCAATCAGGACTGGTTGATTTTAAATGGCTGCTGACTTCAAATGTTTTCAGTTATTTTTCCATTCAACGTCGTTTGAAAGCATTGCTGTTGCGCTTTTTGCATGGTGGTTATATGAAGCAGCAGCTAACATGCTATATAGGTCAACTGATGCTGGCCTTGCTATGGCTGATCATAAGCCACCCCTCTGGCAACAATTTCTCAGTAAGAAGGCTCATTGGCAAGAAAATTCACTTTGTTTGGGAATAGTTCTACAAAAAAATCAATTATAATGTGATGAATAATAGTGTTGGTATCAGTCCCACATGTAGAAATGGGTAAACATGACCAAACCCATGTCTCTTTTCATGTTTAACTTTATGTATATACTGTGGGTTAGGAGGCATGAGGGTTAGACCATGTCCTGTTTGTTTGGGTCTGTAATGGTGAGCCTGTTTATGTGCACTCTAATTGATTTTATTCCCATTTCTGGGATTATCTGGTTTCTGAAGTGATCATTTAAACGACTAAATCTGATTAGGGAAATTGCATTACAACAGCTGGATTATTCCCCAGTGCTACAACTACCTCATCTGATTTATTTAGTTTAACATCGGATCTCTATATGTTGTAAAAGGAAGTCTTTTTTTATAGAAGTGAGAGCTTTAACAAAAAATGCACTGCCTTTTGGATTATGCTCCATGGGATGATGCTATTCAGTATTACCCATGTCGTTGTCTTAGTTAGGGAAAAGCTGTTTGCCTACCTAACTATTGGCCCTAAGTAGAGGCCTTTGTGTGGGATTTTTATTTTCTATAAACTTGGCTCTCTGCTGTCGGGGCTGTAGTGTGTTCATCTGTCTCAGTGAACCACTGACAGTCTTAACCGCAGATGGATTACATCTTTACAGTGCTTCTCTCGTGTGTATGTGAAAAATAAGATGAGTTAGTGTGTTTTAAAAACACCGTTTCCGCTGCCAATAAGCTCATAAGTTATTTATATAGGCTTAATTTCATTGTAATTCTAACATTTTCAGTGTAAACAGTGTCTGCTGTACTAGGGCTGAAACAATCAGCTTAATTATGATTAATGGAGTATTTAAATAATTGTTAACTAATTTAGCAGTTAATTAATCATTAACTTCAGTATATAGACTCTATATTTAAATCATTCCCTAAAAGATCAACCTACTCAAAGCTGTAATTATACCAAAATTGTTTAGTAAAAATATTTTGCATTCAAGGTGAAAAAACGTGTCCATTATTATGCTGTAACCTAAAATCCTCAAATATTTGGCTTCACTTGGTCTCTAAATTCAGTTTAAAACCTACTTTAAAGAACCTCCGGTTATCTGATTAATAATCCATTTATTGAAAACAAAATCAGCAAATTAATTAATTGGCAAAATAGTTGTTGTGTTATTTTATCATGTAAATGAAAAAAGAAAAAGCAATATCGGCACCAAGATTTGTCAGCACACTGGTCTCTACTTCCAAGGGGTTTGATTAGAATAACATGAGAAAGTTAAGAAAAGAGGAGCTCTCCTAGGCGGCATATTACTTTCCAACTTGTGGAAGTGGACCCGCTCTGGCCATATGAAACAAAAATGTGTCCTTTTGGCCTTTATGCCAATTATGTTTAGAAGTGCTATGAAATGTCTGGTGTGTAAAACATGTTTTACCAATATTTATTGTAGGGGCAAATTCTTGCGCCGTTGCCTGCTAAACTCTATCAAAGTGTATTACAGTGTAATACACTTCTGAGAACATTGTTTAATAATAATTACATATTTTATTTTAACATTGCATCATTTTAAATCAGTATTGGTTTACTTACACATTTGCAAATTGTTCTGATTAACACAATGAGTGTGAGTTAGCACACAATATTAACTGTGTGCTTAAAGATTTTTTCGCAGCTGATTTCTTACTAATGACCATGTGAAATAGGCAACTGCATCGTCAGTTAACAAATAAACATTGGTTGTTCCCAGCTTCAGCAAAATGGGTATTAAAGTATGTTGTCATGACTTCAGTTTCTGTTACAACATTCATTTATTTGTGCTCTTTACAGCCCAGAGAGCTGCCAGACAAATGGCAACACGACATGTTTGAGGAAACTGAAGGCGGACGAAGCGAGAGACCAGAAAGAAGAGTAGACGACGGCAGCAAGCTTCTGATTTCTAATCTGGATTTCGGTGTCTCTGATTTAGATATTAAGGTGACTCTAAAAATATGCTTTTCAATCTGGTTGCCTCAAACCATGCATATCTTACCTTTTGGCTTTGCTGTTTAGGAGCTGTTTGAAGAATTTGGCCCCATAAAGACTGCATCCGTACACTATGACCGGTCCGGCCGCAGTAAAGGAATGGCAGATGTCCATTTTGTGAATAAAGCTGATGCCGTCAAAGCCATGAAGCATTATAACGGTGTTCCTCTCGATGGTGAGCCTTTGTTGATTTTACAACAATTATCTATTTGTCGTATTTCTCTATATAAGCTCCGTTGACGATGCTTTTTTCTTTTCAGGTCTCCCTATGAAAATCCAACAAGCATCGTCAGAAGTTAGACCTCAGAGGTATGGGCAAACCAGACACGATTGCAGGTGGTCGTCGGGCCACCGTCGTCGGTTGTCAGTGATTTTGGGAATATATTTGCAGTTCAAGCAGAGGTTTTGACCGAAGCAGGCTCGGTCAGCCACGATTTGAAAGGAGACCAGGTGGGAGCAGTGGAGGTTTCCGAGGTCGAGGAAGGGGAGGAGATAGAAGACCCCAGCTGTCTGCAGAGGAGCTGGACGCTCAGCTGGACGCTTACAAATCAGAGGTATATGACTAAATAACATTGTTTTCTCTACTATATAGTGGATTCTAATTGATAATTCTTTTTTTCTCTGTTTAGTGTCGGATGGACACCAGTTAAAAACGCTCAGGGTTCTACTTTCTACGGTTTCCTTTTTTTCTTTTAGTTTTTTTTTGACCAATGTATCATCCATCTTTTTGATGGCAGATTATTTTATGGACAACGGTGTAAACATTCTATTGTACATATTTTTTATTGCCATTTCTCAGCCAATTTTGTTTGGAGAGTTATATTCTGTTTATTTTCATAAATAATTCCCCGTAACATTCAATTCCATTTGTTTAGTTTTTTTTTGTTTTGTTTTTTTTATATTGTAAACATGATTCTGTGACCAACTGTTTACTGTAACAATAAATGTTGATATAAAACAGTTTTATCCGTTTTTACTGTCATGCCTTCAGGAAGCGTTTTTTGTTAGTCTAGAATCTATTAAATTAAGCTGTACTTCTTATGAAAGCGGGTGGTTAGCTTCTCAGCTAAGATGTTAGGCTGCATAGTGTTTAATGGAGAAGAAGTCAACAAAAATGAGCCTGAGGTTATGCTGGGAGTTTAAAAGTGCTTTTAAACTTTTTGCATTAGCAACTAGGGGTTGATAATGCAAAAAGCCGACAATCCGATGCATCGACGCATCTGCAAGAGTATTGATTCATGTTTTATTTTTTCCCTCCTGTCTCTTTTTATCCTTTTGCTCCTCGAACAACTTTGCTTCTACTGTTATTTGCTGTTGTTTCTCAAATAAAAAGCTTAACGATATTACATCTTTTATAGATTTATATCAAATTTGAAACATTGTCTAACATTTTAAGGTAAAAAAAAATAATTAAACAATTATTTGAATCGAAGTGTATTCTTGAGTATTGAAAATAATCGAATCGTTGGGTCAGAAAATTGATACTGAATCGAATCGCCATTATGGGTGTGATTTACACCCCTATTATCATCTTTTTAGGCCCATATGCAAATAGTTTTTTTTATACTCTTCTCCAGAGCCTTTAGCCCATGATATTTGTGTGGCTGGTCAAAGGTCATTCTGCACACTCACTGCACCCCTTTTTGGGACTAGATTCAAGATGGATACCTAACATAACTGGGGAACAGTAAAGGTATCAACGGCTCAAAACAGTGGCATCAAAAGCTGAAACAGTCCCCCCACCTGCTCAGAACAATGATGTAGGCCACAGATGATGTCTGGACCTGGAGCAGGGTTTGTTTTAAGCTATCATAATTCAGAAATAGAAGATTTTACATTTTTATAACAAATTCCAAACTTACCCTTCCCCAAACATTACATGTGTGTTTAATCAAATTAAAAATTATTTAATCAGAATCAGCAATACTTTAATGATGCCAGGGGGAAATTATCTTTGTTGCAGGCTCCAGGTATACAAACATTGCTCACATTCATCATCTAAAGAAATAAAATGCAACACAAAGTGGCTGGGGAGAGGGAAGTCTGGGCCTCCCTTCTTAGGCTGCTGCCCCCGCGACCTGGATAAGCGGAGGAAGATGGATGGAAGAAATACAACATAGCTTTCCACACTAAACATAATAAAACTATATAAATAGCAATGTGCAAAAGAGAATAATCTGAGTCCGAATTACAGAGGGGGTTGTAGAGATTGACAGGCAGGAATGCATTCCTGTGGTGCATCTTATTAAGAGGAGTCTTCTGCTGAAGGAACTCTGCTGGGCCAGTGTTTTGTGGAGAGGGTGTGAGACATTGTCCAAGATGTACTGAAACCTGGAAAGCATCTTCCTCTCTGTCTCGGTCGTCAGCTCCTCCCCCACTACATCACCACCCCTGCTGATCAGTTTGTTAATTCTGTTGTCCTCGACCCTCAGCCCACTGCCCCAGCATATGACAGCAAAGAAGATCGGGCTGGCCACAACAGACTCATTAAAAACATCCTCAGCAACGTCCGACAGATGTTAAAAGACCTCAGCCTTATCAGGAAGAATAGTTGGCTTTGGCCCTTTTTGTAGACCACCTCAGTGTTTCTAGACCAGTCCAACTTATTGCTAGAGTACACTACCAGGTACTTATAAACCTCCTCAGTGTCTGCAGGGACCCCTGGATGGAAACAGGGATATTGGGGACAGGGATACTATTAGCTCCTTAGTCTTTGTCACATTCAGCAGCAGATGGTTCAGTTCACTCCGAGTGACAAAGTCGCCCACCAGAGTCCTATATTTACTCTCATCACCCTTTTCAATGCAGCCAACCATAGCTGAGTCATCAGAAAACATCTGAAGGTGGCAGGCAATAGCTGAAGTCTGGTGTGAAAAGGAAGGGGGACGAGGACAGTCCCCTGAGGGGCTCCAGTGTTGCTGACCACCCTGTCAGACAAACACTTCTGTAGGTGTACATACAGTGATCTACCTGTCAGGTAATCAGCAATCCTTGACATGATGGGGCCTCCACTTGCATCGCAGTCATCTTCTCCCCCAGTAGAGCCGGACAGACGGTGGTGAAATTGGACCAAAGGCGTAACGACACAACAATAGGCCCGTGAGCAACATCATCTGGGTGGGCCCCATATGAAGTACAACACGTGATAAAGGTTCAGGATAAGGTGACAGTTCCATGATTCGGCCAAGAAGATAGGATTATGCAATTCTCACTAGTATATGATCAGACATCACACACGGAAAAATTGTGACTGCGCACCTTGAATGGAACCATTGGTCACTCACAGCACACCAATACATGTTACAGACATCCCGAGTGCTTATCGTACCTCTTTTTGGTATTGATAGTCGCTAACACATAGTACGTAAAGGTTATTGTTTTAATCTATGCGCTGGATTACCCATAATTCCAAGTTGTAGTGTAAAAAATAAATTACTCAAATAAATCGTTCTTTTAAGATCTTTATTGCAGTTTAAAACACATTGTATGAGTGTATTTATTACCAACCGTCTAATGAACTAACAGTTATTAACATAGTAATTAAAAGTACGGTGCCAATGTCTGCTTTGGTATTGGTGTCGTGTTTAAACGGCTCAATTCAATTCAGTTTATTTATATAGCGCCAAATTCACAACACGTCATCTCAAGGCACTTTACTGTTCAACCAGATCATACAGTGAAATTGATACAAAGTTTTCTATCTAAGGAAACCAGCTGATTGCATTGACTCAAATACAATCCCTCA